TTCATAGTAAATTCATACAAGAAATCTTGCTTTCTGATTGGATAATTAGATCTGCGCATGCTCAAACCGGCTGTTTACAAATGCGAAGTCCTGCTCTCTCGAAATGGGCTATTGCACTTAATATGCGCACCCCCCCTGTTGAGGACCTCGGAATTCTTCGGGGTTAGTCGAAGATTTCACCCGGAATTCTTCGGGGTTATTCGAATATTTCACGCGGAATTCTTCGGGGTTTGTCGAAGATTTCACCGGAATTCTTCGGGGTTTGTCGAACATTTCACCGGAATTCTTCGGGGTAGTCGAACATTTCACGCGGAATTCTTCGGGGTTATTCGAAGATTTCACGCGGAATTCTTCGGGGTTTGTCGAAGATTTCACCGGAATTCTTCGGGGTTTGTCGAACATTTCACAGGAATTCTTCGGGGGTTAGTCAAAGATTTATTCGGGGTAGCCTACTTTGTTTTCACTGGAATTCTAAAGATTTCACCCAGGATTCTTTGGGGCTAGCCTGGAATAATTCTTTGGGGTTAAAGATGCGGTAAAGTCCGTTCTGCGCATATATTCTGCGCATCAAAACATTCCATCAGTGGGGGAGCAACCTTTGGAATGTTGTTAATATTTCGCCCCTTCCGAACTTTCTTGAATTGAATCTCTAGTCTGTATTCATTTACAAGCATAACGAACAAGAAAAGTGTTAAAAATTCAGTATAATATATATCTAATCATATTTTACAACTGTAGCACTGAGTTCAAAATGTAAACAAAGCGTTTGTTTACATTACGGACTTTACATCATCTTTAAATTCTTATATTTCACTGGAATAATTCGGAGTTAAAATTCTTTAATAAATAGTTTTGCCTTTGGCTATATAAATTATGCGAGATAATGAATATAGCTGTATGTTAATTTGCGCCAATTTACATGTAATCTTGGCACCACTTCACTCTGCTTATTATCCACAGATGGCTTAATTAACGATGTTAAATTTTATTTGATACTGATCTCAAATGACTAAAGCCATGTAATAATTATCAATGCAACTGTTAGGAAGTGCGAAATTTTGAACGGAGGACGAAAATCCTAAAGAAAAGGCGAAGTTTCTAAAGGGGGGCGAATTTCCTAAAGGGGGGAGAGTTTCTTAGGAATTTCGCATCCCCCCCCCCTGGGACACCGGTCCATACGATGACTAAGTGAATGTTTCACCACGAAAATACATTTGCACAAAACAGTTTTTGTATAATTCTCGAGGAATAGAAAATGCACGACTGTGATCAGAGTGTGTATATATGCAGTAGATCTAGGCTTAACCAGGTCACATTAAAATCTCAGTACTTTCATGAATTTGGCGCAGTTGCAATGAGTGTGTTGCCTTTTGGCATTGTACTGCGAATTGTTTCAAGCGCGCTAATCAACAGCCATCAGTTCCGGCGTTGACACATATTGAACAGATATTTCGAGCATGGTTATCTTGCCCGTGTGCAATTAATTAAAATTGCCTATTTAAATTTACTTGAATTTTAATATGTGTCTAACTAGTATATAAAGAGCCTGTATAATATTTCTAATTCAGTAATTGTCTTAGCAAGCGATCGCCAACTTTTAAGTACTCAACTGTATTTCAAAAACTCATTAATAATTCATGAGGAAAATACAAAGAAAACTAATCATAAGCGTGTCGTATCTTAATTTATTATGTGATAGAGATTTCCCTTGATTTATACAAACTTTAAGTTTGATTTTCTCGACTTACACAACGTATTTTTTGAAAATTACTTCGCCAATGAATTTACTAGATCGATCGTTTTTGAAGTACTATTTAAAACATTCGCAGTGCGTGTTTTATCAGACCTAAAGATACTCGGCTTCGCCTCGTATCTTTATAACTGATAAAACACTGCTGCTCATATTTTAAATAGTACATCAAGTCTCAACTAGTTTTCAAAAACCAAGCAATATATATTTGCTCCAATATTCTATTGACAGTAATATATTTCGAAAATCATTTTTTATTCAACATTCAGGTATGCGTTGTCTATATTTATAACTTGATACTAATTTTTACAATAATTGATCAATGATATTAAATGATGTCAATGTCATATGCTAATTTGAATTAGAAAACCTATATAAAGCCTATAAATAAAAAAGCACTACTCAGTGTATACTATATATACTATATACTACTCAGTGTATACTATAGTCAGTCTGTTTTTTGTTTCTTTGCGTTCAAGTTTTTTCTCATGGATTCCTGGGCACGCTTCAAATGTGATCTTGCACGTTTTTGATTGGCAATTAATCGTTGTTTCTCAACTGCTGAAATGTCTTTGTTTGCCAGCATTGCTTCGGTTGCTTCTAGATCACTTCGTGCGTCGTCAATTGCTTTCATGTTGGTGTGCAAAGTGCCTGGCTTCAGTCCTTCAGGCGACTTTCCACCGATTTTTTCCAAAATGCTTGCTTCTGCACTTAGAATGTTGTTTTGTTCTTTCCTCCATTCTTCATCTACTTGTGAGGTTATTTTCTTTCTCGATGCATTTGGGATTTGTCGACATAATTCCTTTACTCGTTTGTTCCAGAATTTCAAATATTCCGAACGCATTCCCCTTGCCTTTCTAACTTCGTCATCAGAGTAGATTTTAATCCTCTTTACTTCCCACGGCGATTGATACCTGAAAGCAGATTTCCATTTTTCAACTTCATCATTGGAAGAACTGGGCGTTTTTGCAGTGTATCCAGTACAAATGTCGTTCACTTCGCACTCTTCAGCTGACGTTACCTGTATTTTGACAACTTTTTTGTTACTGCTTTCGCAATGCTCATCATCAAAGAGTACCACATCTTCAACTGCCGTGTCTTTTTCCTCTTGATAGGTGACACCAGTAAATGTAAACTTCCCTTCTAGCAACTCGTCTTCGTCGATTTTATTTCTGAGTTCTTCCAAGTTTCTTGTAAGTTCAAAGGCAGGTATAACTGCGACAACCGAGCCGTTGTTTTCGATCTTTATGCACGCGGGCATTATAAATTATGGCAATGGCAAAACTTATAGGATAACTAATTTCTGTAGTTTGGACTTTGGAGAGAATATAATTATAAGAAGCAGACCTCGCTTAAACCAGTTTTTAAACTTGCAAACAGGAAATGCTGTAAACATACCAACATTGCTGAAATTCTTTGTTGTAACACAGGAAGTGTCATTTAAACGTTGAGGAAATGAGATAACTTAATCTATAAGTAGGTGATAATTGTTTTTGATGGCGGTATCGAGTTCTCGAGGTTTGAAAGTCGAGGTCGTGGATAACATATGTCGAGTGTCTAATCCTATACGTACGAATTAAAGTGCTTTATATATATATAACAATTGTTTTGGTGTCCTAATCACAAATACAGCGTGTTTGAATGTGAATGTACGTTACTCAAGGACAAATTACATGTCAGATATCCACGGCTTCATTTCATGGAATGCCCTTGCGAGACTACTCTAATCTTGTTCCTTTAAATTATATAAAGTACTTTATTTTATGTAAGCCCTAATTAGCGTGCCATGCCAATATAGTCGGATCAGCTACTCGTGTGCAAACGCATGTATCTAATTGAACTTTTAACAGTGATGATAAACAACAATTCGAGTGTCAAAAGTGAACCCTGAATAAGGCTCGGCATTTTGCGTTACAGAATAAAATATTACTAATTAACTGTACCAATCGTGTATTGAATTGAATTGATTGACTTATATAATATACTAGTTATATAAAATCACTAGATAAACTTCATTATTTTTTAAAAATTTGATGTCCGGCCTAAATGAGCTTTATTGTATAATTCGCGTGCATGTAAAAAATAGTCGTCTTGTACTATATATACCATAATTAAAAAATTCAAAACGAGGGCCATACGAAGTAAAATGACATAATTTAATTTAAAAAGGATTAGTGTTTGAAATGAAGCAACCGTATCCCAACAAATGTGCATGCGCTTGAACAGTTGTTCGGAATTACTGCAGTGAATCGATAGTTTACGAGTAGCTTCTTGATATTAAATGAAACATATGTGGTAAATACAGTATGTATATAAGGCAAAAATAGGCATGGTTTTATTTGAACATTGTTTATTTATTCAGAATGCATTCTACTTGCACATTATATCGCAATAAATTGTATGACACTATGCTTTATACAACTTATATTTGTAGTCTAATTATTTTTATTCTGTCGTTCTTTTCTTCTTTTGTAAATAATATACTCTAGGAAATAATCTTTCTGTTTTTACTGTAATTATACTAATTAATAGTTAACTATGAACTTTAACTAGGGGCCTAAATGAAAAAGCTAGCTGTGAGGGTTTCTAGTAGGTCTCTAGCCCAATATTATTAGAAAAAATCTGTAAATAGTGATAAAGATGTACATAGGGGAAATAATAATAATAAATAAAATAAATTTTAAAAAAATATTTGTGCATGCCAGTAAGGAATTAAAATATTTTGCGTTAAGCCTATTAGCACGCCCTAACCGTTTCCGACACATATGGAATCAGTTAATTACCTTTGAACTTTATCAGAGCACCAGACAACATATTGAACAAGACTATAGTATTATATAGAATATAGCCTAACCACTGTAACCAGTAATGGAACACTCTTTGTTTTTGAAAACTAATTGTGGTAAAATATTTGCGGAAATCAAGAATGTACGCCGTAGTGATACTTTATTGTCAGTTCGGGAACGTGTCGATATCACTGATAGACAAAATTTTAACTTTTTACTCTTTGGGACACCACTGAAATCTAAACAAGAGTCTAAAACCCTTGTGCAAGATTGCAGTGTTTTAAGTAAGTCTGATGGAAACGCAGAAATTACAATTAGAATAATCAATGCGCCAGTTGAGAATATTTATCAAGCGCTGATTGCCTTCCCGGTGGTAATAAGCCTGTGTTCGAGAAGGGTGCCTTTGGTAATTGTTTTGCTCCACAAAAAAAAATCTCACCGAAACTGCGCAAGTTAGAGGTCTATACCGAGGACGAAATATCAGAAGTGACAGGGCTCCTATCAAAAGAAAAGATGAGATTTCATAATAACATGGTATCGCAAATTGAGAGAGATGAAAGCCTTCAAGGATGGATGAAGCAAGAACTTCTTGGTGTCATAGAATCTTCATGGGTAATGAAACGAACTGAGCTTCTGAAAGTGAAAGTTAAAGAACTGGTCGTGAAAGAACAAATTGTCTTTGAGATTGGAGAAGGAAAAAATATCATGAGAAATCTTGATGAAGTCGAGAAGGCTCATTTCGATGTCAAACGTGGATATGAGAATTTTTGTTCCGATCTTGATAGGAATCAAGGTAAAAGAGAAGTTCTTGAAAAAAAATTTGATGCAGTTTTCAGCAATTTGAAACAATGTCAAGGCAAACTCCACAAATCTTTAGAGTCATTACACGTTTCAACTCATAACGTGGACAAGCCAGATGGAGACAAAAAAAAGAGTGTTATATATGACGAGCTATCCGATGGCGAAATTGAAAACATCGCTAAAGACATAAAAACTGAATATGAAAGTAATTAATAATTGACAACATGAAATAGTAGCAATGCCAATTAGTAAAGACGCTGAACAATCTACAGTTGTATACTGCATGAAAAATTGTATGTAACATACATTAACTGCAATTGTATATATGATAGACAATGTTTAAGTGTTTTAAATTAAACAATTTTTACTCATCACAAGTCGCATTAACTTTAGCAATTTCCTCTAAGTTATTTTTCCCGACCACTTACCGTATGCAAGATCTAATCAAAAAGCATGCCACAGGCATTCCCATTGATTGCAAGCATGCATTTAATTACGTGCTGGTGAGTGGGTGGTACATATATGATTAAGCCCATGCATGCATACATGCACTTATATACAGCATTCATGCAGTAGCATAATTCAATCCATATATATATATATATATATATATATATATATATATATATATATATATATATATATATATATATATATATATATATATATATATATATATATATATATATATATGTTTTACAACCGCTAGATCTATTTAAAAATTGTTGTTTACCGTATAAGCTTATATAACTGATTCAGATCGGATTGCTTTTTAATTTAGGCGACCAGTTGTATGGTCGTCGCACTTGTCTAGTAAACTATAAATTTTGACGGTTACCTGCAGCTGCAATTACCTTCACCAAAATGGAAAAAAAAACTTTAGTCATATATGTATTGTGCATGACAACATTAACAATTTTCTTTTGTCGCTTTCAAGATAATTACAGTTTTTAAAACAAACACTGAGACATCCCGATTGAATACACTGCCAAGCACTTGGATGCCATGGCATGGCATGGCATGGTGTTTGCGCGTGGGTTGGAAATACGTTTTACTTTTAGACTAACATTTAGTCTACACTTAATGACAATTTTTCCCTTGAAAAGTAGCGTTTAAGATTTTAATGATTTTAACAAATAATGTTAATTCTTAAGGCAAATTTAACAATAATGACTAACTATAGCAATGTTAATTTAGCGCTTGAACAGTGGTATGCATTTTTTGTCGAAAACGATAGCTGGGTGTGACCGACATTTTACGGTTTAATTAACAGCTTTGCATTATCAAGAGGTACACACGGAAGAGACGGATATTTTACATTCATTCAAAAAAAGGTGCGTGGTTTCTTATCAAGGAGTTGGTCTAATTAATGCCGAAATCGGTTACACCCATATTTTCAACTTCCCGTTAAGATTGTATAAATGACAGGGCCTGCCATTGTTTAAATCATATAAAACATTTCACTGATTACTATATTTGTTAAAAACTACGTTGCTTGACTTGCTACAAGGCTTGTTCCTATTTTCGATATGTTTTTTGAGGATACTCTGCGAGATATGGCGCTCTTGAAGAAAGCAATGATCGAAAACGATGTTGCTCAGTGCAGAAGTGTTGTTCTAAAGTATGAAAACAAGCTTCGGCTGTTAACTCAACAACGCAATAGTAGCTATAGTTACTCACTTATAGAAAAGGTTGCCGATGACAACCTATCTACTTTACTAATGCCTGAAGATGTCCCAGTTCCACTTGTACCAAAACCTTCTATGGCAAATGGAAATTGCTTATACAATTCTGCATCTATCGCTATCTACGGCAGTGAAGAGCTATGTAATATTTTAAGGCTTCTTGTTGCCGGAGAACTCTACGTAAATGCACGCTATTACGCCAATCATTCTCATTTTCAAACACCATTCACCCAGACGCATTACAGCCAACATGGTGTTTTTGCCCTCACGCTATCGTGTGATTATGAAGATCTTAGTAACAAGGAGAGTATTGTACGCCAAGAGGCAATTGCAACTAGTACACCACAAAAGTGGGGTGCATTTATTCAAGTAATGGGATTGTCCACGGTGTTGGACCGACCATTGTTTTCTGTGTATCCACCAGTGCACGAGTCAATCAGAGCAGTACTTCATGGAAAGGTATTCCCTCGACGACAACAACGTGAATTTCGCGAAACACACAATTCACCACGAGAAACACTTTATATTATGTTTACAAGGGATTCGAACTTGAATAGTACGTCTGGTGTCGGTTTCCAACCTAATCATTTTGTGCCATTGTTCCCAGCAAAACATAGTGAAGTTAAACCATTCTTGTTTGACGAAGATGAATTTCCTGCCTTACGTAGTGGAAACAGCCATGCACAGGATACTTGTAAACGGTAAGAAACTTTTTCATCCGATATTTAATTTATGCATTATGTATCAGTTATAGTACTACAGGCCCTAAATATTCTCAAAAGGCTTGTTCGATTTAAAACATTGATAGCCCATTTAAAATCGCATGAAATCCTTGTCCTTATCGTGATAATGGTATCAGTTGATCATGTATCACTAGAGTTAGAGATTATGTAGCCCTTTCAGTCTGGTTGCGTTAAAGATCTATTGGCATAAGCGTATAAATAAAACTGCACAGTTCGAAAATGTCCATGACTAATTAAACTGTAAATTTCGCAAAAATTGTGAAAACCTTATGTACAGGATAAACACCGAGAAGGAGGGATTTATGTCAGATAATGACCCGAGGACGCCCAGCGTCCAAGAGCATTATCTCAATTTATCTGACATAAATCCCGACTTTCGAGGTGTTTATTCATATTTAATTCATGGTTGTGGAGGTTTTCCAACAAAGTTTTGTCTGTCTCGTTTTCATTGAACGACGATTTTCTTACTTTTCCTTGATATTTTCAACTGATTAATATTCAAAGTGGAACTAATCTAGCACTGGTGAAAATAATTTTGAAAATAATCACCTCGGTACATCAAAGAAAACCGACTCAATCATGAATTAAGCAAGCAATGCAGGAGGGTTGTTTTTAAAAAATGGCTTGCGCACAAAAATATCCGGGAGGCTCAAAACGCAATTTGAAATCATAGGGTGCAAATTTAGGTGTTTTATGCATTATCAAAGTACCAGACTACTCGATATACATGTCCGACGCGCGACCTCTAAAACTTGGACTTTCTTGCCATAGTCACAGACCATAGTAGCCTTTTGCGCATAATTTTAAAAGTTTTCTTTAAAAAAAACAATCATACTTAAAATCAATCATACTTAAAATCAATCATGCGTTCAAAGTCAGTCAAAAGTCCACGTTTTAGGAATTAGGGGTAGTGTACATCAAGCTGTCTGGCATGCACTTTGACAGTGCATGAACCACCTTCCAAATTTGCAACCTATGAATTAAAATTACGTTTGAAGCGGCCTTCCATTTTTGTACGGAAGCCATTTTTAGAGTGGTTTTTGACAAAAACAATTCTCCTGTAGTCGAAAACATTTCTTTTCGAAATAATTTTAGTGGTGAAGATACTGGCAGACCCCAGTACGTACCAGACTACCCATGTTTGCATAAAATTAAAATTTTCACACATTTTGTGAAACTTGCAGTTTAGCGGACATTTTCGAACTCTGCAGTTTTTTATTTAACAATATGAAGATCTATTATTTACGCTCAAACTGATATTTTAAAATGTAACCAGAAAGGGCTAACTTAAATTCTGATATCACAGATACAATTTAATACATCTAAAGACAGGTGTTATAAATCTGTCAACAACCCATTAATTGAAAACAATTAGTTTATTCGACGCTTTGCATGCCTTCGCCCTTCACTCTTCAGGTCTTTTTATATACACGTTATAGACTTATAGTACAATAGTGTTTCCTATTAGTATTTCTACTATATATATTGGTATATGAACGTTGTAAATATAAATGAGCTTATAGCTACACTTATAATGACGGGACAAAACTCAAAGCGTTGAAAGCACTAATTATTTTCAATTAATGTGCTGTTTGTTGACAGATATTTTATAACACCTTTCTTTATATTTTGTACCATACAGCTTTTGTAATTTTATGTTAGCATTATTATCGTGTTACAGATCTTTCATACCAGACTTAACTCTTGAATTATTTTGACTGAAACGAATGACCTATACCGTCATTATGGATCATTTTAAAATTAACCTCATGAACTATGGTCTTGACAACGTCAGGAGTGGGATTTATAGCTTGATAAAATTATACATGTACTGTACATATAAGGCGGATTTCCATTCAGTGCAAATGTTGCGCGATCGACTTTTTGCGATCGCTTTCTTTTGAAATACAAACAGTCAAGCGGAATAAATCTCATTAGCTGTAGTTCACTGCACACATTTGAAAATTTTGCGACATTTTGCACTGAATGGAAATCCACTTTTTCCACTAGCGAATTTTTGCGCGCGAAGCTACCTTTTTCCTTTGATTACGTCAGCAAGACGTGGCAAAATGGATGCCGAGAAAGGAAAAAGGTCGCTTCGCGCGAAAAAATTCGCTAGTGGAAAAGTAAAAACCGCGGCTTTAAGCCGCCAGTTCGTGAAAATGCAGTTTAGCCTTAGGAATGTCGTGTGTTTAAAAGTCGTGTGTCGTGGGTAAAGTCGTGGGTAAAGTCGTGGGTCATAAAATGTGCTAAAAACGCATTTTTTCACAAAGATATTATTTTTATTTTTAATATTTTTTCGTACTTTTTCCATTTATGTACTAGATAAATACAGGAAAGTTTAACGCAACAAATCTCCAGTAATAAAATAATTTCTTATCTTGCTGTTATCTATATAGTATAACAAGTAAATGTTTGATTATGTTATGTTTCCGTTTCGCATAGTCTAATAAGCCTATAGAGTATAAATGTATTGCTTGATGATAAAATGTCTTAAGTTATAGGATATAGGTTTATTAGCTTTGGAAGTGTTATAGTCCCTATCATGAACGTCGCGAATAACTTTGTCGATTGCATATGTCTGATACAAACATATTGTCTATTGAGCTATAAATTTTACGCTGTGCCTGTATAATTAGTGGCCAACGCTCGAGCCTCAAATTTTGCTATTTTATCTCCTAGACCTAGTATATGTTCGTGGCCCTTAAAAGTAAACAAACATTTCATCTGACAGTGTATGTGGCGTTCGGAAGTATTCCATAAATTGCTACGATTTGGGATTTCCAGTGTTATTTCGACCGAGAATATGATACATCTACACTTTTCAGCCGTAATTTTCAGCGCGCATTGTAATCATATACATATCGTTTAATTTGCTTCAAAAACTTGATAAAAAAACATGTTATTCGTGTTGGTTCCCGCGGAGCGCAATGGTGTCATAGTTGCCAGAGGCAGAGCACATGCAAAGCCGCCTCGTTATAAATCATGTATGTAACGGGAAATCTTGCTTATTTCAGTCTAATAAAGTCAACCTTTTTTCTTTGATAATGTACGCAACATGCCGCGCATTTTACATTTAACAAAATAAATTTTTGAAGCTAAATTAAACGATATGTATATGATTACAATCCGCGCATTATGTATATTACGGCTGAAAAGTGTAGAGGTATCATATTCTGTCAAAATAGCAGCGGCTAGCGCCTAGCGCGCTCGGTTGGCAAATAGCCCGACATGATGGCGACATCGCACAAATCAATAAATCATTTCGGTTTTCAATCGCGAAATCCCAAATCGTAGCAATTTATGGAATATTTCCGAACGCCACATACACTGTCAGATGAAATGTTTGTCTTCTTTTAAGGGCCACGAACATATACTAGGTCTAGGAACATATACTAGGTCTAGGAGATAAAATAGCAAAATTTGAGGCTCGAGCGTTGGCCACTTATACAGCGTAGAATTTATAGCTCAATATGTTTGCATCAGACATATGCAATCGACATAGTTATTCGCGACGTTCATGATAGGGACTATAACACTTCCAAAGCTAATACACCTATATCCTAATATCCTATAACTTAGGACATTTTATCATCAAACAATACATTTATAAACTTATTAGACTATACGAGACGGAAACAATTACTTGTTTTTTCTACTGAGATAACAGCAGGATAAGAAATTATTTTATTACTGGAGATTTGTTGCGTTAAATTTTCCTGTATTTATCTAGCGCATAAAAGGAAAAAGTACGAAAAAATATTAAAAATAAAAATATGAAAAAATGCGTTTTTAGCACATTTTATGACCCACGACTTTTAACCCACGACACACGACATATAGGGACATGCTCTCGATTAAGGAGGACAAGCGTTTCCGAATACGCTTTGGTTGCATGCGTATAACAGCTATCTCAAGTGCCAGTTTCCCGACTGATTTTTCAGCGCTTGATTTGAACTCAGTAATATGTAATTTCTAATAATGATTACCACAAGTTCGACGACTGAATTTTGTTACTTTTTTAGATCCATATAGTTTCAATTGCGCTTGTGCCTAATCTATTCAATTATGGTTTTACAGACAGACAGACAGACAGACGGACAGACAGACAGACAGACAGACAGACAGACAGACAGACAGACAGACAGACAGACAGACAGACAGACAGACAGACAGACAGACAGACAGACAGACAGACAGACAGACAGACAGACAGACAGACAGACAGACAAAATATAACATATGAACAGCCTTATGATAAGTTACACCGAAATACAAGGAAACCACACATTGTTAAAAGATCACGTTAGGCGTATGTACAGTATGTAACTTTCTTCACTCTCTTTAACACTTAGAACTCATGCTGCAAATATTACTACGGGATTCTCAAAGAAGAGAAAAGTTAACCGAGAACCAGTAGTTGTTAAAAGAACACAGGAACGTCGGCCGACCTCATCTCAAGAAAAGAAAGGTACGGGCACTCAATCTTGTGACTTACTAACCGTTCAATTCCCATCTTTGTCACGTAACTGGTACCGCTCTCAATCATTTAAACTCAGCGATTCTCAAAGCTACCTCACATCGAATGCTTTTGACGAATCCGACGAGATGTCAGATGAACGTGGAATCTTCTCTGACCCAATATCGGTCATGAATCCTTCTGAAATATTACTTCCTCAGACCAACTCACTCCTACCTTTTCCTCGCATGTCAAAAAAATGGTATTCCTTCGTCAGTACTGAAGATGATTCGAATGAAGAAGGCACCACTGAAACAAGCCAAAATTCAGTTATTTTTCCCAGACTATCAAAACAATGGTATAAGAGACGCGGAAAGTTATCCTCTAAAAACAACAGTCGAAATCGAATTGTACATGCAGACGGATATTTACAAAAGAATATTGTGGATTTGGAAAAAAAGATTACATTTGAAACAAATGAACATTTGAAAGAAAAATATAGAATTATTCTTGAAGTCGGGAAATATTTCTTAAAAAATGGTCCTATTATAATTGCAAAACAGCTTGGGACTGCATATAATACATACAAAGAAAACATAACGAATAATAAACTGAAGCGACCTTGTCCGAAACCTACTGAATTATTGGCTGCTCTTTCACCGCATCTGAACATATCTAAAATACATTTGCATGAAACCGCATTTTTCGTAGAAAAACGTGAAAACCTGTATGCGGTTGTTAAGAAATTAGAAGATATAAGCAGAGCAGGAATTAAAGAGGAAATGAACAATCACATAAAAAATGAGATTGGCGACCTCTTTAACACGGCATTAAGATTTGCGGACACAAAGAAAGATCGAGACTTGATTAAGGGTCTTTTTGCAACAGCTACTAGCACAAATTTCGTAGCCAAGCTTTCGAATGTAAAGAACAAAAATGCAATTATGGCATGCAAGAATGAGCTAGAGGGAAATTTGCTTCAATTCCAAAACATTGAAACAACTTCTAGAACGGTACGAAATGACATGACCAATGAGGCACAACGCCGTTTGCACAAGCGCATCATAGCATTGAGAAAAAGTAAGGAGTTTCGTAGGTCGTACGATGGTAGAGGCCGTCCTCTTAAAGCAGACATATTCCCAGAACTCGGTCTTGTCCTTGAAAGCATTTTTACTGCAGGTGATAAGGGCATTGAAGGTGGTTTAGAGTCTCACAGCAGATTAACAACTGACATAATGTATAAAAGTATTGATAACAATCTTTTCATGCGTCAGGCTAGAGAAATTATTTTACAAGTTGCTCCACCAAACTTTTCCATTTCATTGTCGTCTTGCTACAATTACACAGACACCTACAAGGACAACTCTTTTGCTGCAAAAAGACACCATGCAGGAAAGAACATTAACGCTAGAATATCGCTAAAACGCCCACCACGTGATGCAGTTTCTCACTTAGTAATGAATCTTCATTGGTCTACTAAAGCGGTAAATTTGATGTTGGAGGAAGCTGAAAAAACGCCAAATGACCACGTTATTGATTCCAAAGATGCGAAAGCCATAGTGTGCGGAGATATCCAGCCGGTTCAATATCCTGGAAAATCATGGAAACCCATTTCCTATGAAGATCACACCTTTGACCAAAGAAGGGTAAACGCGGTTGTCCCAATGACTCATTTATTCTTGGATTTAGAAAGTGTTGGTGAGGTTTCGCATGAAGACAATAGAATGAAGAAAATATCGGTCACAAGGACAGGAAAACCGGTCACGTTACTGTACCTTGGCATATCAGAACCAGAAACTACCTTTCGGGCTATGAACGAGATGTTCTACTTGTTAACTTTGCCATCTCTAGACTCTGTTTTTAGAAACCCAGACACTGGTAGTCTGAAGCGTCTATTTAGTTTCGTTGTCGACAATGGACATGGGGAGGATCCCGACAGCGCGCTCACACAAATGTGCCTGGTTCGCCTGCTGAACCTATTACAGCTGAACAAAATAAATCAGAGAAGTTTTGCCGAATACCACAGTAAACGGAATTTTGTAGAGCGTGTGCACGCCGCTGAAAATGTTGCCTTATCAAGACATGGAGCATTCTGCAGTTCAAAAGTCCACCAAAACGTTGAAAAACATAGTCCTGAACACCTCGAGAATATGGAATCGATGGCCAAAGATGTTAAACAATGTTTATCATGTGCACGGTTTGGAAATTCGTTTATACAGTGTTTTAGAGGTGTTGCGAAAAACGTTGTTTTTAATGACGAACTCAAATTGAAGGAGTATCTTAATTTAAATGAAGAGCGTAAAATGGACTGCGATTGGACGTACACACCACTGAAAAATGAGTATTTTAATACTTTGGTTGAAACATGGAAACTTGATGAAAACTACATTGGTCAGTATGCCGAAGATTGCAAAATTATTGCTAACCAGTCTGGTGTCAGAACAGCCAACAAAGACAAATATGGGACAATGCTGCGTGATGCGTCACATTTTGATGATCACAATGGAAAAACACTTCAGCCAATACCTGATTACATCCGTTGGGTTCATTCTGGTGAACTCCATTTTCTTTCGTACGAAAAAACTGAGCAACTCGCAAGAGACAAGCCTGAAATTACTGACTGTGATATATTTTTGCCAACACGAATCTTGGACATATTCTTTGACATTGAAAATGATCCGTCAAATGAAATCTTGCAACAACTAGCTCTCCTTTCATGGTTACCAATTGAAGAAGTAACTGAATACTTCAACAAGAACAGAGAGAAAGCTGACAAAAGCTGCCGTGATAATATTGGACGGGAGACCTGGCGCAGTCATCCTCTTTACAAACTTAACATGGGCGAATTAGAACAAATGTGCAAGAAAAACAATGTTTCATTCAAAGGTCCGAAGTACGTAATTGTTAAGGCGTTGGTACTTGCTCAAGATGAAGACGTTCCAGACGATTTTCGAGCCGACTATAAAGGTGATTTGGGTTCGTTGCCAAAAAGTATTTCAATGTTAAAAAAGTTACCTGCTGCAACTCTTCAGTATATTTTGAAATACCACAATTTGTCTGCAGCTGGTAAGAAAGACAATTTGGTCCTTCGTGTGTTTTTATTGCGAAACGGAAGATCTCATTTGGCATCTTATATGCAAGTACGCGAAATAAAGGACTTGATTAAATTGGTTCAATCATTGATATTGTATCAAGTCAACTGTGAAATTATTGATCAACCGGACATTTACCGAACAAGAAAATTTTCTGGAAAGAATTTAGCAAAGAAATCCCAAATACCAATTCCATATGGTGTCTCCAAGGAAAACTTAGAGAACTTATTTGAAACTTTATTGATATACCTGAACCATAAAACACATCACAGTTCCAACATGAATAAGGTTGAAAACACAATGGAGAACAAAACTGGTAGTAAGGAAGTTAATTATGAAGATTATTTCGAAGTTGGCTCCAATGTAAAAATACGATGGACATCAGAGGAGATAGGAGATTCTGGATGGAAACCAGGCTGGTATTCGGCAGACGTACAGTCGTCAACAATTGAAAATGATGAAATTTCTGTTGTGTATGTCAGTGAACCAGACTGTGTTTATTCTGTGGAGGTGACGCCACTATTAGCTCTAGGCAAATTGCGTATGTAGAGCACGGCTCAAACCAAAAGCAAAATAGGATGATTACAAATGTCTTACGTTTGCACTTGCAATTTTTGCTGCGATTTCTAATGCGATTTTCTCCTTCTGCTGTATGTGAACGATTTGACTGATAAGTTACGATTACGAATGTTCTGATTATATGTATACCCTCATCTGAACATTCATAACTTATCCACTCGTTCACATCCATCAGAAGAAATTCGTACCTAAAATCACAGCAAAAATTGCAAGTGTAAGCGAGCCTTTAAGATGATGAAAATTATGGGTTAAATGTCTTTCAAGGCCAGAATGGTTTTTGAATGTCTTTCACAATCTCCGCATGTGTCACCAATGATAAGTTATTAATAATTTCATTAATTACACAGTATAGACATATTTTGTGGCTTTTGAACCAACAAATCACTGAGTTATCTGCTGGCAAGCAGGTACGTATACTGTAACTCAGTTATCTGTAGGTTGAGCCAGTGGTATGCAAGAAGTAGCTGGAAAAATTATTATTTCAGCGTTCCGAAAAATGTTGACCAGTTCATTTCCTAACTTGAAGGAACACCTCTGAACAATTCCTTAAAATTTTGAAACTTTCTTTAAAAAGTTCCTGACTTCCTGTTTCATTGACCAATCAAATTTTATATTTTATTTTTGAGCAATCTGATTGGTCAATGAAACAGGAAGTTAGGAATTTTTTAAGTACTTATCAAATCGTTGAGGAATTGTTGAGAGGAACTCCTCGAAGTTAGGAAATGAACTGGTCAACATTTTTCGGAACGCGTCTATTGGCAGGACTGTAATATATCTATATTTTACAGTATACCAACACATTTATATATTAGATATTTAATATATAGGCATATCATATTCTCACTAGATGCTAAAGTGTTTAAATTGAGAAAAGTAAAATTTAAATAACAATCTGTCACGCATTTCTGCACAAAAATGTATGGTCAGAACCTGACGTCATGTACTTAAGTGATGTCACTTGTATATAGCTAGCATTCCATGGATATTAAATTTATTATTGTGATAACCACTCAAAGAGCATGCCTCGATCGCATAATCATACTATAAGAATACCACAGTCAGTATTCATTTCCAACCACCTTTTGTCATTGTTGGAAGATGGAACAGGTGTTAAACGGCTACATAACTAACCCCCAGAGAGCCTTCTCGCAGGCTAAACCCTACCCCTATTCTACCCCTAACCCCAACTATAACCCTAACCAAATTAATTTAAAAAATTAAAAAAGAAACAACTTTAGAAATTGATCAAATGACGTAACGTCTGTTGGAAATAAGTGAAAACCAAAATGTATTTTGTTTGTCTGTTAATTAAGCTTACTTGCAGGCCTGTTTATGTATAATACATTTTATTCTGAATTTCTCAAATATTATACCGCCAGCAGTCTTTATATATCCATTTTTGAGGGCGATCATGTTATTTTTGAGGGCGATACTGTAAAATTATTTTATTTATACCGCAACAGAATTGCACATTTCCAAATTTCTGATGAGCAATATTAAACCCTTTACGCTTATTCGGAGTCAGTGCTCTTTAATATTTTTGCTCTCGTATGTGCCATTTATCCTGGGAGATGCTCAAATGAGCAGATACAGAGTGCAACATTATGCTGTGTTACTTTCATGTTTAATTTTACTTTAGTATACATTTATGTAGTTGAGGAGTCTGGAATTCTTCAGGGGTTCGACATTTTCAGACTGGAATTCTTCAGGGGTTCAATATTTTCAGACTGGAATTCTTCAGGGGTTCGTAAAAATCTCAATTCTTTAGGGGGGTTACAAAAGGGAGGTCCTCAACAGGGGGGGTGCGCATATTAAATGCAATAGCCCATTAACATTTGTATGCACGACCACAGGACATAATAACTTGCTTACTTGACGTATTCAAAATACATAAAAGAAATTTGCAGATCAAGAAGACCGCTGGCGCGATCCATGCAGAACTCAGGAAACGAGTAGGAAAATTTTTTTAAATAAGGGAGCATTCATTTTTTAGCTGGGGGGGGGGGAGGTGGGCCGGAGGAACTGATGTCTAATTCCATGCTAAAACTTGGAACCCCCAAGAGAAAAGTTGATAAAAAATTATGACCCCCTATTTTTTTTACTGAAAAATTTTTTGACCCCTCATCCTAACTATTAATAATCCACACGGTGGTGTCGTTTCCGTAGCGTTTCAGGGCGGTAGGAAGCTCTTTTTTATTGGGGGCTGAAAGCGAGGGCCGAAGGCCCGAGGAAATTTTTAAATCTACAATCGTCCACAAAATATATTGAGACTTTTTAAATCGATCCCCTCCCCCCTTATTTCAATGTTGAAACCTACTGTACTTGTCCAAAACGAACATAAGGTGACACTAGCATCGCAACTGTGTCACTGGCAGTTGAAATTTAACATATGATGTTGGAATTAAACTATATTGTAGTGCCTAACAACATTGAAATCGGGGGAGGGTGTTTGTCTCAAATATTTTGTGGACGATTGTCTGAAAATTGGGGAAAATCAAGCGCAGGTTTTGGCTATTTATTGCATAATATTTTCTTTGGCAGCGCTTATGTTAATGTATAAGAACAAAATTTGCATAACATATTTGGACTACATAGTATACATGCCGATATACAAGTATTATATTATGCGATAGTTTGTCCAAGTTAAGTTAAAATCCATACCTTACCGGCATCTAACGTTCCTTCGCAAGCTTGCTTTCGATTCGAAAAAGATATATTGATAATGAAGAATGAATATCATGCAACCATCACAAATCAAGATTTTTCTATTTTAAAGTACTATGTAAATTCAAGAACAACGCTAACATGTAAACAACCTCGTTCTCAAACTGGGAATTAACCATTCGGATTAGTTTAATTAATGTATATGCATGGGCTACTGTTTTCGCTCCAAATTCAAATTTTAACAACGCGTTACCACGCGTTACCACGCGTTACCATACGCGTTACCACTAATATCAAACAGTTATTATTGCTACAATAAAACTTCCGCAATAAAAGTTCATTTCTAATGGTTCAAAACTACAAGATCGATATGCAAGCAATGACTAACAACGCGTTACCATCAGTTGCGCACGCGTTACCATCTTTTATTTAAAAAAAACTACTATATACATTTTATTAAAAACTTGATGGTAACGCGTGGTAACGCGTTGCTTTATCAACAAAATACCATAATGAATAGATTTACTAGGCATTAACGCGTATGGTTATCTGAGATAACGCATGGAAATGCATTGTTTTAGTAATAGAAAAGCCAAATAGACAATTAGTACATGGTCACGCATATGGTAACGCGTGGTAACGCGTCGTAATGTGTTCTGTTCGTAATAGAAAAGCCATATTATAAAACTATTAGTACATGGTAACGCATGTGGCAATGCGTGGTAACACGTTGCTCTAGTAATTTATATTTCAAAAGCCATATTAAACATTAGTTTATGGTAACTTGAATAAATTAAATCTTTGACCCCACCAAGTAATCAAAAATTAATTTAAAAATGCTTATAGTTTCATCAACATTCAATTATCCATTAATTAACTTGAGTAACTAAAGTATTATTAATCCATGTGAAGTTATAGGACTTTCTCTAAGAACTATGCACGGTTAATTCTCTAATTTAACGGACCGATCCAAGGATGTATTCGACATCCCTCCCCTCCCCACCCCCCCAACCCACCCGGCTCAGAAGAAGACTTGATATGGAACCATTATATAACGTAGATATCTTTGTATGGCCCTAACAATACTATCCAAATTATAGTGAATAGTAAGACGCTTCTTTTACTTCACAAAAATTCCCTAAATATTTAATACTTGCCCCCACTATATTCTCCTCCCCCCCCCTCCCTCCCCCCCTCCCACAGTTATTGTGCCGCACATAACATTATTTCAAATAACTTCGAGCTGCTGCCATCTAAGTTTTCTTAATTTCTAATATAATTTCTAATAGGTAGACACCAAACATATAGTGATATTTCTTGGATTTCCCCCCATATCTTTTATATCTCCCCCCCCTGGTCAACTTGGCAGCACTGTACTATTCTACGTGTGAACAATAACCCCAATAGTATCATCTACAGTGACTACTACACATGCACACAAAGTGATTTCAAAAAAACTTCGAGATGCTATTAACTAAGTCTTATCAATTTTTAAGACAGTCTGAAAATTGGGGAAAATCAAGCGCAGGTTTTGGCTATTTACTGCATAATATTTTCTTTCGCAGCGCTTATGTTAATGTATACGAACAAAATTTGCATAACATATTTGGACTACATGTAGTATACATGCCGATATACAAGTATTATATTATGCGATAGTTTGTCCAAGTTAAGTTAAAATCCATACCTTGCCGGCAACTAATGTTCCTTCGCAAGCTTGCCTTCGATTCGAAAAAGATATATCGATAATGAAGAATGAATATCATGCAACCATCACAAATCAAGATTTTTCTATTTTAAAGTACTATGTAAATTCTAGAACAACGCCAACATGTAAACAACCTCGTTCTCAAACTGGAAATTAGCCATTCGGATTAGTTTAATTAATGTATATGCATGGGCTACTGTTTTCGCTCCAAATTCAAATTTTAACAACGCGTTACCACGCGTTACCACGCGTTACCATACGCGTTACCACCAATATCAAACAGTTATTATTGCTACAATAAAACTTCCGCAATAAAAGTTCATTTCTAATGGTTCAAAACTACAAGATCGATATACAAGCAATGACTAACAACGCGTTACCATGAGTTGCGCACGCGTTACCACGCGTTACCATCTTTTCTTTTAAAAAAGCTACTATATACATTTTATTAAAAACTTGAGGGTAACGCGTGGTAACGCGTTGCTTTATCAACAAAATACCATAATGAATAGAATTACTAGGCGTTAACGCGTATGGTTATCTGAGATAACGCATGGAAATGCATTGTTTTAGTAATAGAAAAGCCAAATAGACAATTAGTACATGGTAACGCGTATGGTAACGCGTGGTAACGCGTGGTAATGTGTTCTGTTCGAAATAGAAAAGCCATATTATAAGACGGTTAGTACATGGAAACGCATGTGGCAATGCGTGGTAACACGTTGCTTTAGTAATTTATAATTCAAATTAGCCATATTAAACATTAGTTTATGGTAACTTGAATAAATTAAATCTTTGACCCCACCAAGTAATCAAAAATTAATTAAAAAATGCTTATAGTATCATCAACATTCAATTATCCATTAATTAACTTGAGTAACTAAAGTATTATTAATCCATGTGAAGTTATAGGACTTTCTCTAAGAACTATGCACGGTTAATTCTCTAATTTAACGGACAGATCCAAGGATGTACTCGACAGGCCTACCACCCCCACCCCCCCCTACCCCATCCGGCTCAGAGGAAGACTTGATATGGTACCATTATACAACGTAGAGATCTTTGTATGGGCCTAACGATACTATCCAAATTATAGTGAATAGTAAGACGCTTCTATTACTTCACAAAAATTCCTTAAATATTTAATCCTTGCCCCCACACCTCTGGGAATTAAATTCTCCTCCCACTCCCTAGCTCCCCCCGCCCTCAGCTATTGTGCCGCACATAACATGATTTCAAATAACTTCGAGCTGCTGCCATCTAAGTTTTCTTAATTTCTAATATAATCGTCTACCAAACATATAGTGATATTTCTTGGATCTCTCCCCCATTTCTTTTATATCTCCCC